CCTGTGGGAAGCGTCCAAGGCCTGTATGCACCCTTCCACGCTCTCCAGCAGGGCTTTGCTCCCCAGTCGGGGGCGCGGCCGTGGCGCCAGCGAATGACCCTCGGCCCCCGTATCCTCCCTTCTTCCTGGTCGACCCTGCGGCCTTCCTTGACTGCCCGGGGGCGACAGCGCCCGCCCGCGGAAAGGGCCCGATTCTCCCCGACCCCAAATTCGACGGACGAGGTTTCGAGGTCCTCGACTTACGCCCAAGAAGAAATGACGGACCGGTCCTTGGCCCCCGTGGCCCCCGCCACCGAGAGGCCTCTCCATGTGCCCCGGGCGCCAGGCTATCGCACACACCACGGCTGAGACCATGATAACACGCGCTGCCCAGAAAAAAATACCCCCCTGGTCGTGCAGGATTTTATCCCACAACGTTTCTCCATCGTCCTCGTCCTCGACCATCTCCATCTCCGTTAGCCAATGGCGCCCACGATGGATCAACCCTCCCATGCCGGCCCAAAAAGACGATTTCGCGGGAGGGTCACCGGGAGGTGAGCGATCATCTTTTTTTTTCGTGCTGCCGAGCCTATGATGCCAAGAGATAGCTACTGTGCAGGAACAGGAAAAACAATTGCGGGCACAGGAAGCGACAGGCAATGAGTAAAAACGGATGGGAAATCGCAAGTTGCACTTCCTCTTCACGCTTACCGACAGGTGGAGGACGGGGAAATGGAGCTTTAAGTCCATCTGCCCCTTGTCTTCTCATAAGCCTCCTATCATTATGTGCACGTGGTGATAGAAGGGGGGGAGGAGGGGTCATGAGTTGCGTATTCTACTACCGGATTTTTTTTTAATTGTGCCTAGGCTACTAGTTATCAGCGAGGGCGGGGACGAAAGGGAGTATACACGTCCCCGTGTTTTGCTCCGCGCAACGACAATCTGCTTGGAAATTGCAATACTAGGTACAGATGCCCTGCATTTCCGCTCACTTAGGTAACGTTTTGTCGGACTTTTAGGCGTGTTGATATGAATATACCATACTTTCAACAGGTTCTTTAAGCTGTCAGGAGGTTAAAGCCCCCGCGGGCCAGACCTTACGCCGTTTTACTTAATATGGCCAACAGCGCCGCAAGTAATCCAGGATTTGAAGACGAAGTTGGTAGCAGCACTATGGCGGCGCTTCGGATCGCATTTTGGAGTGGTATTGGGAGCTCGGAAGAGGAAATCGACTCGATGATTGCGGTATGACTGGGCCAGTTTTTTGGTCCTTTCCAACTCCCTCTCTCTCTTGAGCCGCGCTTTCTATACATCATCTTCGTAAAATAGCAAACAATTGTTTCTAGATAGGCGTCGGAAAACAATGCGAACACTGTGGAGTGATCTGGTCCCAAGCTCATCCTTTCGACCCCCCTAAACCATTCTTCAATCCTGTCTACCTAAAAATCATCTATAAAGGACTACCTGG